AATGAAAAAATGAACACTACAAACTTTGTAGTCTCAAAAAGCGCACACTACAAACTTTCTAATGAAAAAGTGGACACTACAAACTTTGTAGTCAGGATAACCTTTTGACCCTAACCCTAACTTTGTAGTCTAAGTCCAAGCTTTTGTAGTCCAAGTCCAACTTTTGTAGTCTTTTATAGTCTATCAGTAAACTTTGTAGTCTATCAGTAAACTTGGTAGTCTTTTGTAGTGTATTAGTAAACTTTGTAGTCTAAGTTCAACTTTTGTAGTCTTTTATAGTCTATCAGTAAACTGTGTAGTCTAAGTCCGACTTTTTTGTAGTCTATCAGTAAACTTGGTAGTCTATATCTGACTCTTATAGTAGGGCATGAACCTTCCTTTTTTGGTCATTTTTCCCATGATACAATAATTGTAGCCCTTTCTTTTAGCTTTCTAAATATGCTGAAATCATGTTATTTGGTTTTGTTTTCATGGAGAAAAACACAAAAAAAAAAAAAAAACAGGACACTTTTGAAATTCCTTTACCTCATATCTCCACAACAAAAGCACTTCAGAACATAATTCAAACAGATTTGGGAAGCTACAGTGTAGGGCTACAATTTTCGTTTTTTTGACCATTTTTGGTAATTGGTCATGTGACCATCATCCCAACATCCCCTTACATGGACCCTGATAGGTAAAGTCATTCTCCTCTTGGTTTTCTTCACTTTTTAGTCAAACCAGGTGATATTTCCCTTTTGGGATGTACCCTGAAGGCAGTGCCTGATGTTCAAATCGCAATGATATTGGCCAAGTAGCTAATGAAATTTCCAATGATATCGCCCAGGTTTCTAATGAAAATCACAATGATATAGGCCAAGTAGCTAATGAAATTTCCAATGATATCGCCCAGGTTTCTAATGAAAATCGCAATGATATTGGGCAAGTAGCTAATGAAATTTCCAATGATATTGGCCAGATAACTAATGAAAATCACAATGATATTGACCAAGTAGCTAATGAAATTTCCAATGATATCGCCCAGGTTTCTAATGAAAATTGCAATGATATCGGCCAGATGAATAATGAAAATCGCAATGATATTGCCCAAGTAGCTAATGAAATTTCCAATGATAT